CTTACCATATCTAATTTAATGGTAACATCTTTACTTTGTGGTTTAATAACAGTAGTTCCTTTTCCAACTATTTTCTTTTGACTCTTAGAGTTATCACTTGTGAGTGAATCTGTAGTTTTAACGATATTAACTTTCGCATTTTCATTATTTAATTGAATAATTCCTCCTTTATAGTCATTTACAGTAACTTCTACAGCTCCACTGATAACAACTGTTCCTTCTCCACTAATAGATTTGAATGTAGTTTGTTGAGTTACAATAAAATAGCATCCAAAGCTCATAATTAATTCAATATCTGTTTGTGAGTTAGAATCAGAACCACTTTGAGATTGATAAGAGTCACATGATATAGGAGTAGCAATAATTAGAGTAAATAATGTAAATAAGAGAATGATTAACATAATAAAGCAGTGACTTACTTAGTTGATTATGTAGGAATAGTTCGTTTCAACTTCAATAACTTGTTTATCTATCTTTCTAGAAACTTAGGATTAAAAGGAAAAAAGAAAAAGGTCGTTTCAAAAGAACCTCTGTGTAAAATCAATAATTAAAAATAGAAGAAATGAAAAAAAAAATTTTGAATTATTTCTTTTCAAGTAAACCAGCTCTTCTTAATAAAGCTGTAAAATCTGGATTTCTTCCTCTGAAATTTCTATACAATTCATCAGCAGGTTTTGAGTTGCCCATTGAAAGAATATTTGTTCTAAATTTGTTTGCAATTGATTGATTGAAAATCCCATTTTCTTTGAAATATTCAAAAGCATCAGCATCAATACTTTCAGCCCATTTATAAGAATAATAACCACAAGCATATCCAGTAAAGTGAGAGAAAAGATGTTGGAAAACTCTAATGATAGAAAGTGTTTTAGTATTAAAATGATATTTATAGTCTTTTTCTTTTTGATAAATAAAATCATCTAATGATAACCCACTTGTTAAATAATTTCTGTGAATTTCTAAATCAATTTTACCGAAACTTAATTGTCTCATTGTGTAATATGCCGACATATAATTCTTTGCTTTCCACATTTTATCAAATAACTCTTTTGGTATTGGTTTAACATTTCCAAATTGTGAGAATAAATCTAGTGCCTCTCTTTCAAATGTCCAATTTTCCATTATTTGACTTGGTAATTCTACGAAATCCCATGCAACATTTGTTCCAGCTAAAGAGGCATAACGTTGTTTAGTGAATAAAGTATGCATTAAATGACCACTTTCATGGAATATTGTTTCTACCTCGTCATGATTTAATCTTGTAATACCATTAATTGGTGGTGTGATATTAGTACAAACAATACCTAATGGTTTAATAAAAGTACCATTTGTATTTTCATAACTCACTCTTAGCATTTCTTCCCAAGCACCTGAACGTTTTCCTTTTCTTGGATACAAATCAAAATAAACTCCACCAATAATACTACCATCTTTTTCTATTACTTCATAGTATTTAACGTCATCATGCCACCCTTTAATTTCTTTATTTAATTTAAATGAAACTCCATATAATCTTTTATATATTTCAAATAATCCACCAAAGACAGATTCCTCTGTAAAATATTCTCTAAATTCTTCTTCATTGAAATTATATTTTTCTTGTTTCATTAATTCAATATAATAATTTACGTCCCATGGTTCTAATTGATTATTACCACATTTTTCTTTTTTAAATTCTTTTAATTCCTCTTCTTCTTTATAAAAGAAGCTTTGAACTTTATCATGTAATTGATTAATAAATTCAATTGCATTTGTTCCATTTTTAACCATTCTTCTTTTAGTAACCAAATCACTAAAATCATGATATCCAAGTAATTCTGCATATTTTTGTCTTTTTTCAATAATTTCTTGAATTAACTTTGTATTATCAAATTTACCTTCACTACACAATTTATTATATTGAATAAATAATTCTTTCCTTATTTCTTCATTCTTACAATATTTAATAGCTGGAAAATATGATGGTACTTGCAAGGTAATAATATACCCTTCTTTTTTTCTATCCTCTGCTTCTTTTTTATACATATCAATAATATTTTCTGGAATCCCTTCTAATTTATTCTTATCTTCTACATTCATTGTGTATTCATCTACTGCATCTACTAGGTTGTTAGAAAAGTCTTTTGTTAATTGGGTTATTTCTTTCTTTAATTCGACTAACTTTGTTTTATCTTCTTTATTTAAATTTGCTCCTCCTTCAATAAAGTCTTCATATGTCTCTTCTACAAGTCTTTTTTGATCATAGTCTAAATTCTCTTTGTTTTCATATACTTTCTTAACTAATGAAAATATAATTTCATCACTATGAAGAGTTGCTCTAAATTCTGTTACTTTAGGGAGAACTTCTTCATGTGCCTTTCTATATTCATCAATGTCTGACCTACATGATACTAATACTTCTAGCTTTAACATACTGTCATCTAGGATAATTGTTGCATTGTCAAATGCTCTCACAACATTCTCAAATGATGCTTCTTCAATTTTAATATTTTTGATTTGGTTAATTTGTTCTTGGCATTGTCTTATTGCTTCGTTAATATCATTAACAGCATACTCAGGTTTTAATTTGGTAAAGTTGATAGGAACTGTTTGGTCTAAGAATGGATGCTCCATTTTGGTTGTTTTGTTATTTACTTTTTCAGTTCTTTCAGTGCATGTGTTCGTGTTGCAAAGTTGTGCCACAACACAACAAATAAAAACTTCAATAATCAATAGCATTTGTTTTATATAACGTTTTAAAGTTTTACTAAATTTTTTAATTTTTTTATTTTCAACAAAAATTCAAGAGAAATAGAAGAAAGTCTTGGAAATGCTTCTCCAATAGAATAGACCAATTAATATTCTAGAAAATCATTCTCATTTATTTTTGATCTGTTAAGTAATGCACATAGGTTAAAAGTGAAATAACAAAAATATTTAAAAAGATTTCAATAATAAAAGCCTGTTTAGAGTAAAGTTATAGTTTTTATTAAACTTAAGACAAATGCAACTCTCTTCAAATCCTCTATACAACCAATAGTTGATATTGTTTTATACTTTTCTTTAAGAAGATATGCCTCAATACCTCTAAAAGAAAACAAAGACCTGGAAATTAACTAAACAACCTAAGCATATTATTTTTTATTAATACCTAGTCTAAACATATCATCAAACCTTCCTTTTGATTCTATTGAAAATAAAAATGCATTTAAATTATTTATTCATTCTTTAACTTTATTAATTTTAGAATTAATATCCCCCTAAATTTATTTCCATTTGAACCTTTAATAAAAATTATATATTCTTTATTCATTACTCCTTCTCAAAGTACTGATTTATTCTTATTCTAATTATCAATAATTAATTCAATAATATATTTCCTATTTTTCTTTCCATCTATTCTTCTATTTGTTTAATTTCTTTTAATCTTTTTCTTTCCTCACAACCACTATATATCATTTCATTTCTATTCTTCTTTCTTTCTATTGAATAATTTTTGAATTACATCTTTTTCTTTGAGAATTTTTATTGACTCATCTACATTTCTTTAATTAAATAACTTTATTGATTAACTCCTTGCTTTGTTAGCAACTTCTTCTTTCTGTTTCATCAATTCTATTAATTATCCCCCTATCCTCTTTTAGTAGCTTCTGAATATATTTTATTATATTGTATTTCAAATACTTCATTTTTAATACTTCCTAAATAATGTCGATAACGTCTAGTAGTACCATCAATTCCTTTGAGCATTTTGGAAGTGCCTTTTTATTCGTTTGTATTAAAGTTTCTCTAAAGTTTTGTTTACTCAATTTTGTCCATCTTACTTTGATACTAATAAGTTTAAAATAATATAATTAATTATATTATACTTAGAATATTAATTAATAAACAAATGATATTTATTCCATTTGATTTATGAAATTATTAATAAATAATAAAATAAATGATACATAAAACAAAAATTTAATTATTTAAATTTCATTTTTTGTTTTTATTGTTATTTTTAAAACAAAAAAAGACAACGGTAAATAGTACTATTATCTGTTTACTGAATACTTCTTTTCTAAGTGTTATGTGCTAATTAAAAATCTTTGAACTTTTATAATTTTTTTTAAAATGACTTAGTAATGTAGGTGTTTGTTTTTGTAATTTGTTTAAGGACTATCAAAATTTTTGGTTTTTTATAAAAGACTTTTTTATCGCTCAGAGAAATTTATTTCATATTTATTAATTAATTTCTTTTATTTTTATTAATAAAATAAAATCAATAAAAGGGTTGATTAAGATAATCCTCCTTTTGTAAAATTAAATTTATTATTATTTTCATATTAATTGTTGAATATTACAGTCATTTTATAATTGTTAAAAAATAAAAGATAATTAAAAATTTTATTTAATAGGATAATTCATAAGAATAAAGGTATTCTCCACTCAAAACTAATAAATTATGAAATATAAGTTTCTTAGAATCATTTGTTTTTCATTTGAATCCTCTCTCTTGATTTTAAGAAATTCTTTTTTTTTTAGTATTAACTTAAAACTATCTAAAGAACCTCAAATTTATGAGTATTTCTAGAGAAGAATTTGAAAAATTGATTGATGAAGGAAAAATTGATAAAGCAGTTGAGGCTCTAAGAAAACGACAAGAAATAATTGACCAGTTTCATAATAAAACATTACCAAATGAAATTATAACACCACGCCTAACTGAAAACCCAACAATTCCGTTTGTTATTTTTTTTTAGAAGTTTAAGTTAATCAGTTAATTTATTATTTCTTATTTAATAAGAATAATTGCCTTTAAGAAAAAAGAAAAGAATAAATAATTTTAGACAAAGTCCAATAGAGAAAAGAAATTCAAGAGGAATGTCAGCATTTAGACCTGTCTATTAAATAACATTAATAAAGATAAATTGAATAAAGGTTATTTAGATTAATATTACAAAGGTTAAAATAATTAATTTAAAGATAAAAAATAAAATGATTCTTTAATACAATAATATATCCCCAAATTCAATTAATGAGCCTTCTTACTGACAGCAATTTTAGCAGCAGCATTAATCTTTCTGTTAATAATACTGACTTGGAATTTGTCAAAATCAGTCATCTTTTCTCTGAGAATTCTCTTTTCAATTGCTTTACCAGTAGCAGTTTTATTAAATCTTTTAATAATAGCATCTTGAGTGAATCTGAGACAAAGTTTCTTATGAGTCATACCTCTAGTAACATTGTTAACAACAAATGAGGTAAGAGAAATAGTGTTCAAATTGACAACTTGTCTTGGAACTCCAGTGATGGCTTGTGGACCATCAACAAGGACTCTATTGTGGTCAAGAATTTCAACAATAACGGCAAGTTTACTGGCGAAAGGTCCAGTCTTCATTAAAACAACACGACCAACTTCAACAAATCTGGAGAAAACCATTGCCAATTAAAGTGTAGTTTAGGGTTTCTTTTTTAGTTCATTCATTTTATCTAATAATAATAAATAATAATAAATTTACTATAAAATTATAATTTACCTATTTTTTTTTAATTTGACAAAAATGAAAAAAAATAGAAAGAAGTTAAACAAAAAATTGGAAATAAAAGAATAAATTGTGAGTATTTAATAATATTATTATTAAAAGAAAAAGAAAAAATGATTAAATAAACCAAAAAATACTAGAAACTCCATTATTAATGGAAGAAATCTCTTTTAAAGATACTGTTAAAGAAACCCTTAATAAACTTGTAAACGATCAATGTACAGAAGAAGATGCGTTTTTAAAAATACATGAATCTGCTTGTTTGTTTTACTTTTAAAAATAAATAAAAATTAATGTTAACAAATAGACTCATATAATAAAGGAATAATAGAAATTTTTAAAGTACTTTTTGAAATTGGAAATAAATGTACATCACTTAAACATTTTAATAATTTATGTCTTCGCTTTCATTTCTTTCAATCAATATTAAATAAAGTTATTGTTAATAGTGATGGTATAAAAAAGAGTGAAAATGTTTTGGTTCATTTTGTAAAAACAAATTTTATTGATATTCCTTCATTTCAGTCATTAGTTTGTTTTTATAGTTTTTCTCTTTTAATAAAGGTATATTAAAATATTCACATTTAATTTATTTACTTAATAGTAGATTGAAAGTACAGTTAAACAAACAAAAGATGTTGATAAAATTTTAGAAACTATTATGTTAAGTAAAGATTGTGATGCAATGAAAAAGATTGATATATTTCATGTCATTTCATCAATCAATGGAAATATTTCAATATCTCAAAAAATGGTTTCTTTATTTATTAATACATTAAATGAAATTAAAGATGAAAACAAAATCACTGAGATTGTTATTAAATCTCAAAGGTTTTTAACATCCCAAAAACAAGGAAAAGACTTCCTTGCTGTTCATCCGAATATCCATAAAAAAATAATATTTAATATACTCCTTGGATTAAATTCTCCTACTACTTCAATGGCATGTAATACTCTAATAAATCAAAAAGAATTATTTTATAAATTTGATAAAGCACAAAGAATTGAATTATTCATATCATTTTACAATGAGTCAGTAAAACCTGAACTTAAGAAAATAGAATCAAAATCAAAATTAGTTTCAATTATTTCAAACTCTAAAAAGGACCAATTTTTTGAAATGCTTAATAGTCGTCCTTTTACTTTAATTGAAGAAGCACTTGAGATTGCTAAATCTTCTCCAAAAGAAATTCCAAATTTAACTTCATTATTTATAAAGAGTCCAGTATTATTAAAAATGTATTTAGTTAATCGGTTACGTTCAATTTATGAAAAAGAAGGAAGTTTAAATGAAAATTGCATTAAATTTACATTTTCATTATCTCCCATTTGTGATAGTTATTATTTCCAGGATTGTATTGATTTTATTTTAAAATTACTTCCAAAAGATAAGTTATTGGCTCTTCGTGTTATTGAATCATTGACAATATCATTAAGAGATTTTGTTGAGATTACAAAAAAAGATTCTGTTTCGTTTGTATCGAGTGTTGAACCAATTCATTTTTTTGTTAATCAAAAATTAAATGATCAAGAAGATTATCTTATCTCAAAAAAAGGATTTTGGAACATACTTAAGAAAGAAAAATGTGTTTTTAAGATTGGGTTCTTTTTAAGTGAAATGAAGTTGAGGTGTCATGAAATGTTTCAATGGAATGAAGATGAATATGACCAAATTTGTTTAACAATTCAAAAATATTTTGAAATTATCGATTCAGTTCTTTTTATAGAAGATTTAAAAAGTTATTTCGTTAATGCTTCATATGAATTTGATTATTTTATTATGACTCGAGATAATTCTGTATTCTGGAAAATGGCTAGAATTATTGTTCCATTATGTAGTGATTGGGAACAATGGAAATCTTTGTCTATTACAAGTAATCTATCGTTTAGGAAGTCTGAACTTATTTCAAAACAAAAAGATATTGTTACTGAAATAAAAAGTCGAGAAAGTGATTTATTCAACACAGTTTTTTGGTTACTTGATCTTGAGGATATTTTTTATCCTGAGAAATTATACAACGATATTTCTGATGAGATCACTAGACATTATGAAAGAGATATAAAAAGAAATAATATTATATCATTAACAAAAAAACATAAAGAATGGGTTCGATGTATGATTAGACAATTGAAACTCACTGATTTCAAAAAAGAAAAATTTTATTATATCCCAAATAAATTTATGAGTCAATGTTTAATACCTAGAATTAAAACAAGTATAAAAGATGCTATGTATTGTGCCAAATTTATATTACAAATTTTTGAGAATGACATTGAAGGAGTTTCACTAATGTATTTATTAAATATCGTTGCTATGTATTTGGTTGGAAGTTGTGTTACAATGACAACAAAAGAGACATACAATGTAGGAATATTCCTTAACATTTTATTAAAACAGTTAAAAGAATGGAATAGTCAAGAAACATATAATTCAAATGTAAGGGGAAAGAAAGGGTTCAATTCAACTACTATTGTTGAATATTCAGGGTTTCAAGTTGTATATGATAAATGGACTGGATTAATCACTAAAGAATTAATTGTAATGTTAAGTTCAACCGAAGAATCTAATGTTAATAAGGCCATTGAATTATATAGTCTAATTTCTTCTTCATTACCTGAAAATATTGTTTTGAAAGGGATGGTTAAAGTATTATCATCTAAGAAGGAAAGACAAAATGAAAAGAAGTCACAAGATTCTGACGGAAAAGTTTTAGAGGAAAATAAATATTTGAGTAGTTATATGAGTCAAAACATTGGAAAATATCAAATAGAACCAAAAGAAATGAAAGAGTTATTAAATGAATTCAAAACTAAAACAGAAGTTATGAAGGAAAAAACAATTAAAATCAAAGTTGGGATTATTAATGAAATGAATAAGAAACGGAATGAATTAATGAAAGAGGTTTGGGAGAAAAAGAAAGAAGAATTAAAAGGAAGTATTGAAAAGATTAAGAAAGAAAGAGAAGAACAAGAAAAGAAAGCATTTGAAGTGTTAAGTCAAGGATTAGTTGAAAAAGCAGGACAAGTAAACAAGGCAGATAAACAAAGTGATAAACAAGAAGAAATAATAAAGGAAGATAAATCAGAAAGAAGAAAACATCATCAACACAGGGATTATTCAAGAAGCGAAAGAAGACATCGTTCAAGAGAGAGAAGAGGTAGGTCATATAGTAGAAGCAGAACTAGAAGTAGAAGCTCAAGTAGAAGAAGAAGAGATGGTTCTAAAAAGAATAATCGTGGTTATAAAGAACGAGAATATCGTAATTAAATTGAGTTTTTTAAATACTTTTATTAACAAAACATTGATATGAAAGAAGTTATGTAAATGAATAACCGAATGAATTAATAGTTATCAGGCCAAACTACTTCAAAGAATAAATAAGATAAACCAACAGCTGAAACAAATGACAAAATCATTAAAGGAATACCAAAGATTATAAAATCTTTAATTTTATAATTTCCTTTTTTCATGATCATCAATGTTTTATTGGAACCAAATGGTAATAAAAATACACTAGATGTGGCTATCATTACTGCATACATTGAACTTTTTAATCCAATTACTCTACCTCGTTCTAGTCCAGTTGGATCAGTTCCCCAATAAGTTTCCCAAACAACAGGGAACATTAATGCAAATACTGCAGCATTACTTAATGATTGAGTGAGTAACATTGTTGGAATAACTAACGCAGAAAGAATACCGAATTTACCAAGAGGTAAGAAGGCTCTTGTTAGTGAACGAGCTAATAATGCACCAACATTAGTCTTTACCATTCCTTCAACTAACCCAAATGAAGCACCAAGAATACAGATTAATGGGACATCAACTGCTTTAAATAGATCTTTAATTGTAATAGTATTGGTCACTAATAAAATAAATACAAAAACAAATGCTGCAACAACAAAAGGAGCAGCATTTAATACATCAGTAATAACTGGAATGGCAATAGCTAAAAGTGCTAAAATAGTTTTATAAATAACCATTGGTTGTGGTAATTGAACATTTAATGGTAAAACTAATTGGAATGGAGAAGGGAAGTATTCCTCAGTTGCAAATTCTGAGTCTGTACAAATTAAATAACTTAAAGTTGGTTGTATTTTTTGTTCATTAATTTCATCCTTAAACATTTCATTTATTTTATCTTCTTCTTCATTTTCTTCTATCTCTTCCATTAATTCATCATTTTCATTAATTCCTTCAAGATTATCTTCATTACTTTTATATGAAACACCTAATATCCCAAAGAAATGATTCTTATAAAATGTTTGAAATTTTTTATTTAACATCTCTGAATTTCCACCATAACAAACTTCATAAACTTTTAATTCTCTATTAGTACTCATCATTTCTTTAGCAAAAACTACTTTCAGGAATAATTCCACTATATGCATAAACATCGTTTAAAAAGTTTCGTATGGGGGCAAGATAAATATAAAATATCACCTTTCTTGAAGAAACATCAGTTGGTTTTTGGTTTAAAAGATAGTTCCTCGTTTTAATTTCTGAATAATTTACCATGAGAAGGGAAGAATAAAACAGTATCTTTTAATTGTTTATTAATATGATTACTTTTTGGACCAATCTTAACTGGAATAATAAATTCTGAATGATTTTTTGGTGGTTCTTCAATTTCTGTCTTTGGAACTAAAAAGGTACAAAAAACACAATAAAGAAATCCAACAACTGTCAACGGAAAAGCAACAACACCTATTTCAAACATTGGTACAGTAACTTGCATATTTAAATTATATTTTGAATTAACAATATCAACTTGATTTAAAATTAATCCTTTAGCAACAAGATTTGTTGAAGTTCCAAGAATACTATTCATTCCAGCATATTGAATAGCATAACACATTGGCAATAATAATTTAGATGCTGGTTGTGTTGACGTTTTAGTCCATGCAAATATTAATGGAATAGACATAGCAACAACTGGAGTATTATTTAAAAATAATGATACAGCCATAACAAATGGAAATAATCGTATTGCAGAAGGCCAAATATATTTTTGTGGTGTATCTGGTAAAAGAAATCTTCCTACAAATTTTAGTCCACCAGTTTTATCAACTGCTTCAGAAATAATTAATGCAACCAATACTGTTAATGTACTATTATTTGAAAATCCAACAAATGCTTCTGCAGGTGTGATGATTTGAAGAAATACAAGTAAAATAGATGTTAAGAGAATCATCATTCCTGGATGCATTACTTCTGCTAATAATAACGTCAGCATTACATCAAATGTAAACATAAACAAAAATGTTTTTGTAGACACACTATTTGCATAATGAACTTTCCAATCACAAAAATATAATAAACAAAGGCATATTGTAAATATGACAAAGAAAACCATACATTTCCAATTACTAATAACCCACTTTAATATCTTTTTGGGAATCTCTTTAATACATTTCAGTATTTCCATTTTTCTTGTTCTTTTGATAAATTTATTTCTTTTTTAGTTCTTTTTTAGTTTTCCTTTTTTATTCAGATGGTTATTATTTTTCTTTTTTTTTTGAATATAAAAGAAGTTTTTCAGTAAATACACACTCTATTATTATTATTACTACTATTATTAATCATTATTCAATTACATTGTCTTTACTCTTCTTGTTGAAAGAATAGGAGAGCACTCACAAATTGGTTGACTTCTTAACCTTCTACAACAACTAATTTTAACTGGTGGTTTTGATTTATCTGATGTATCAAAAGGACGGTCTTCCATTCTAATATATCCACCACAACATTCCTATTAATTACTATCTTTTTCAATTAAGTTCTAAAAAACAAACAGGAAATAATTGATAGAAGTAACGATATCCTCCATTTAGTACAAAAATATCAGGATACCATATAAGAGGGTATTGATCTTTATTCTTTTCTCGGTCTAACTGCCTAAAAAGTAACCACTGATTTGGCCCTCTATTCTGAGAATATTCACAATGAAATACAATTATTACATTCTCTTGCCTTTTTATGAAGAACAATGACTCCAGTTCATTTTTAGAAGGACAAGGAACTGCAGAGTAGATATGACCACCTTCATATTCATAGTCATATCTACAATCAAATAAATATAACTTACTCTTCCTTGAAAATAATAATTGGTGAAGAAAATAAGGTTCTATAAGATTATATGGATTGTCAAAGTCCAAGCTAAATATTCTACTAAATAGACATGGATTTTTTGGAGATTCAACCATTTTTTCTGTTTCTTTTTTCATTGTATCTATCTTTTTATTTATTGTATTGGGGAGCATCGAACAAACAAATTCAGTCTTTAATTATCAGTTTTTTTTTAAAAAAAAAGTAACAAGAAATGGATAAATATACACAAAATCAAAAAAAAAGGAAACGAAAGAAATTTTTTGGGATCTAATTTAAAAATAGAACATAAATTCTCTATTAAAAATTCAATGAAGCACATATTACAATGGTAATGTACGAGCATAATCATTTAACAAATTAATAACAATTTTATAATCTGGTCTTTTTGTAGGATCTTCAACACAACATTTATTAATAATAGAAATTATTGCAATAGGAACCTTTTCAGAAGGGTTAATTCGTTGATGGTTTTTAACAAATTTTTCAATTTGTTGTTTATTCATACCTCTATATGGTTTTTTACCACTGAATATATGAAGAATTGACATTCCAAGACTGAATGTATCACTTTTTAGTCCATATGATTTATGTTGTATGATTTCAGGTGACATATATTCCATAGTACCAACATAATCATTTAGTTCTTCTCCTTCATGAACATACCTTGCTAATGAGAAATCATGTAATTTAACTAAAGGACCACCTAAAAAAATAGTTGAGTGTTGAACTAATCTAAGGTTAAAGGGTTTAACATTTCGATGAAGGATATTTTCTGATGCTAAGTATTGAAGAGCTGTGGCTAAATTAACACAACAACGAGTTAAAAAAAGAGATGGTAAAGGTTTTTCTAAGATTTGTTCTAGATTAAACATTGTATCATTTTCCAATAATAAAAGAGAAGAGTCGTAGTTCATTCCAACCATTTGAATAATGTTTTGATGGTGAATATCAATATAATTATTTAAAATAACTTTAAAGTCTTCCTTAGTTAATCTAGACTCTTTAGTATCCAATTTAAAAATAAATACATTATCTTCTTTATATTTTCCATGTTTTCCAATAACATCTCCTACAGAAACTGAATCATTAAGACCCATAGTAAGTGTTGATAAATCAACTGAATTTGTTTCAGTAGTACAAGTATTTTCTCTAATAGCTATATGAGACGAACCAGTTTTTTCTTTTATAATACTGTTTGCTGATGATTTATTAATTTTTTTAATTAAATTTATTTCTTTCATATTTACTATGGGAATAACTCCAAGCATTTGAAATCTTAAAGCAAGTGAACTAGATTCACTTCCTATCAACACTTTCTTTTTTACTTGGAAAGTAACACTTCCTGTTAAACCAACTGTTGCAATAGTATTGAAACAAATGGAAATAGTAACAGACTTTTTACTTCTTTTTCCAATGGTTAATTTTTCTTCATCAGCTTCCATAGTATATTTTGAACTCGTACTTAATTCAACTGTCATTTTATATGCGTCAGTTGTTTTATTATGAAAAGTAATTTTCTGTTTCATTGAAACTCCTTGAACAGCATATTCTCGTCCAAAGGTTAATTTTTGTATTGGCTATATTTTAAGTCTTTTTACAATCTTTGAGAATTGCATATAATCATTAAAAAAAAGAAAATACAAACAGGCTCTATTTCAAACGGAAATTTTAGTTGTGCACATGAACCAACAGAGGAAGTTCGTGACCCTTTAGAGAGAGACATGTTGTTTTTTTTTTGGATTGAGATGTGTTCTAATTTTAACTTTCGAAGAAAAAGCACTAAAAAATATTTGGTAAGCATTTTTTACCATTTGGTTTTATTCTTTTTAAATAAGAATTCTAATAAAGAATTATTGGTAAATATTTTTTAACTGTGTCAAAATAAAAGGAAGAAGAAATAGGTTTATTATTTTTATATTTATTTAGTTATTCTTCTAAAACAAACAAAGGCTTAAATAATACATTAATACTAACTTAAAATAAAGAAGTCATTTCTTCATTAAAAATCTTTTCGTTTGAGATAGACAAACAGTGTTTAGTTCTGAGAAGATTGAATCTATAAAACAGTTATATTCAACAGCGTTAATACTATCAATTAAAGGATTTCTATGAATACACTCAACAATAATAGTTGGATAAACTGGTTTGATAAAGTGTGTTAGGTTCATAGCTGATTCACAAAACAATGATATTGAGTTTGTATCACTTTAATTGTCATTATTAACCCAAATAAATATAGGAAAAATTTAGAAACAATTCAATAATTATTAATTTATATCTACCAACTGTTTATATTTAACATTCAATGACTTGACCTTTTTTATTTTTGTAAATCGTCTTATTGTTCTGTATATTCTCTTCAAATATTTTTATAGTTGCTTTGCTTCTTTATACTAAGGGTCTTGGACTTTTTTCATAAAAATTTTAAGATTTTCTCAAAAAAATAGTACAAATAAAGATTCTATTGGTTAATCTTTTTGTCTTTATCTTTTATTTTATTTTTTTGAAAATAAATTTATTCTTTCAATTTGTTTAATTCTTTTAAGTTTATTAAATGAAAATAACTCATTTAATCACTCCTTTTTAATATACCCTTTGTTCCAATACAATACCAACCATTATCTTCATTTATTTATTAGTTATTTTATTTTAATTAAATTTTTTTCAATACCATTATTTCTATCATTCTTTCAACTTTATTATTGCCCTCTTTGTTTATTGTCCATTGGTTCGTAGGTTGATATCCATTATAATATGCACCATTTTTTAGTCTTCACTTTATATTTTGTACTTTTGTTTTCATTTTATTTATCGGTTTTTATCAGATCCTTTCTATCTTTAATTTACAACAATTGAAATAATTTAACTTATTTCTAATATTGTCTGAGTAGTATATAAATGTTGAATATATATTATAATATTTAAATTTTGAAGTATGTCATATCCATATATAAATTAAATATAAATTCATTTTTAATAATTTAATTATAATTTATAGTATTAGATAAATCTCTTTTATTAACACACCTCTGTTTAATAATAAGAAGATTCATAGTTATTCAAATTGTGTTTGTTATTAAATCTATTGTTCTTTTAATTGGAGTCTTTAGAATAATTTTAATGTTTCTTTCCTTTGATTAATAAAATTTATTTTCTTTTATATTGTATTCTATTCGTTTTGAGATACTAGTTTATTCTTTACATATTTCATTTAATTATAAATGTAAATATTTTATATATAAATTATTTTTTTCTTTCATTTTTTTATTCACTATTTCCTCAATTAAGTATCAACACTCTTATTATTTATAAAAGTATTTCTTCTTGTTTTTATTCCCTTCTTGTAAAAAATATGTTTATAATTAACTCTATATTATAATTTCCTCAGTTAGTATCTGTGTTTTATTTCTATCTATTACATTTTTAATTTATTATTTTCATCCACATTATTTATTGTATTTCTTATACTAAGAAATTCTTTTTCTATGCTAACACTATAACAAATTTTATTATGTTTGTTATCAAATAATGTTATTAGTTCTTGTTAAAAAAAGTGAAGAACAGAAAACATTCAAGGGAGAGAGAAGAAAAAAGGATAAAGAATAATAAAATGGATAATAAGAATGGTAAAAGATATACAATGAAAAAGCGAGTAAAATGAGAAAAGAAAAACATGGTAAATACTATGATAATAAACAACACACATGAGATTCATAATTATTAACAACCAAGAATTTGAAATGAAAAAACAAGAAAACGAGAGTAAATAGGAGAATGGATAAATAAAAAATAGATACAAAGAAAAAGGAGTGTGTAGAACAAGAAGCATTCAATCCAAAATAAAAGAAGTTAGATGGATTAAGGAGAGAAAAGAGTGATAAACAAAAGAAAAGAATAAAAGAAGTGAAACAACAAGAATAATAAGAAATATAGAAAAACAGAAGAAAACAAAGAATAGAATAATAAATTATAATAATAAATTAAAATAATAAATTATAATAAATTATAATAAATTAAATAAAGAAGAAATGGAAAATATAATAATAATTTTTATAAAATATAATAAATCATAATCTATTTATAGATAAATAACAATATTATATTTTATTATATTTTATTATATTTTATTATTTAATTTTATTATTTAAAATTGTTATTTAAAATTAATAAAATAAAATGATATTAAATAAAATAATAAAATAATAAATAAAATAATTTGTTATAATGTGTATTTAATTATTTAATCATGATTTTGATTTATATTCATTAAATTAAAATGGAAGAGTTAATAAACAAGAACACCCATCTCTTTAAAGA